CTTAGGTTGAGCATCCTTTGCCTTTTCTGAGAAGACTGAAGCAAAGACTGAAGCAAAGCTCATGTGATAGCTCATGTGTGAAACGGTATGTTCAGTCATGTGATAGCTCATGTGTGAAACGGTATGTTCAGTCTGCCAGCATATGTATGATGTGCTAAAAGCTACTTTGACACCTTGGGAATGAAGCAGTAACCAATTTATTGTCTCCAGAATTCTATCAATTCTCTGCATTTTCACTCATTCGTCTTTTGATTTTTGTAATCCCACAAGGTAACCAAAAATGTTTAACTAGTGCCAGTCAAAGGGAATTCTTTGTTATGGTATATATGTGTGTTTGTCTGCCTCTGATACACTCCTATGTGTTCCTGTGGATATTTGCACTTGACATAAGATATAACATAACATGAAAAAATATAAAATACAACAGTACAATATTAACATAGTAAACATTTTTAATGTGTTATGGAAGCCGCCTTGGGTCCCAGCCTGGGAGAAAGCTGGCATATAAATCAAGTATATATATATATATATATATATATATATATATATATATATATATGTTTAATTGTATTTTAAGGGGGGGGTTATTGGGATATGGGATTGCATATTTTATCATGTAAGCCACCTTGGTTGTGTTGTACAGAGTGGGATATTATTATTATTATTATTATTATTATTATTATTATTATTATATAATCTCAAAAGGGAAGCTTTGTCTCTCCCAGGTTTGGCAGGGACAGCCCCAGTTAAATCTTCTGTGGTCTCACTTTCTCAACTGCCTTTAAAATATCCTGGTTTCTCTCCCACTTTCCCCATTTCTCCTCAGCTTATTTCATTTGCTGCAAACTGAGTTCAAAATGCAAAAGAGGTTTGTAATCAGTTAACTCAACAGGGGGGAGAGAGGAGATGAAGGACTGGAGTCTTGCCCTTCCTAAACTCAGTACATAAATTCCAGGGTTTCTCTGCTTAAAGTAGCAGTTTTGCATGTTCTTCCTTATTAATAATGAGAGCCAGCATGGTTTAGTGGTTTGACTATTGGACTACAGTTCTGAAGATCAGGGTTTAATTCCCCGCTCGGCCATGGAAATCCATTGGGTGACCTTGGGTGAGTCACACACTCTCAGCCCCAGAAAACTCTGTGATAAGGTCACCTTAGGGTTGTCATAAGCTGGAAACACAACAACAATGCTGCTATACTGTTAATACTGCCACTACTATCTTGCCTCACTACTGGCCAGGTTGGCAAGGGCTGATGAAAACTGGAATTTAACTACATCTGGAGAGCCACAGCTCTTCCATCCCTGCCATGTGCAAACAAAGCAAAATGCTGCAAATAAATGAGTACAATAAGTGCATACACACAGAGGAATATGTCATTTGTAAAAACACAGAGCAGTTTGCTCCAAAATATACGAGGTATATGCAGTAATAATTTCTGATATGATAAAAAATACTTTAGGACAGGGGTAGGCAACCTAAGGCCCGGGGGCCGGATGCGGCCCTCCGAGGCCTTTGGACTGGCCCCAGGCTGGTCCTGCTGCTGCTGCCGCCGCCCCCACCATGATGATATGGATTATTGTTGTTATTACTTGTTCTTGGGGTTTTCTTGGCAAATCTCCACAGGGGTTTTGCCATGGCTTTTCTGGGGCTGAGAAAGTGTGCATGCATATTTTTTTTTTAATTTTAAAATTTATTTATTTATTTATTTTTGGTGCTTCGGCCCCCCAATTGTCTGAGGGACAGCAAAAAGGTTGCCTACCCCTGCTTTAGGATATGAGAACTGGTGTGGTGTAATTGTTTCAGCATCGGACTACGACTCTGGAGAACAGAGTTTGAATTCTCATTCAGACACGGAAACCCACTGGGGTGAGCCTGAACAAGTCACACTCTCTCTCAGCCTCAGAGAATGGCAATGGCAAACCCCTCTGAAAAAGCTTGTCAAGAAAACCCCATTAGGGTCGCTGAGACCAGAAGGGCGCTGCCATCCAGAGGGGTTAAAGGCAGGTTTGAGCATTTGACTATGACTCTGGAGAAGATGAGGAATCTGTACCAAGGACAAGAGGCCATTGTCAGAATAGAATTTGGAAAACAGTGGTTCCTAATAGGTAAAGGGGTCAGGCAAAGCTGCATCCTGTCACCCTACTTGTTTAACTTATATGCTGAAAACATCATAAGAAAAGCAGAATTAGATTCAGAAAAAGGAAGAGTGAAGATAGAAGGAAGGAACATCAACAATCTAAGATATGCAGATGACACTATAATATTAGCAGAAGACATTAAAGAATTGGAACAGTTAATAAGGAAGGACAAAGATGAAAGTGCAAAAGTAGGTCTGATGCTGAACATAAAGAAAACAAAAATAATGACCACAGAAGTACACAAATTCAATCAAGACAACGAGGAAATTGAAATAGTTAAAGAATTTCCATATCTAGGATCAAACATTGACCAGAATGGCGACTGCAGTCAAGAAATAAGAAGACGATTAGGAATGAAAGAAATGGAAAAGATACTGAAGAGCAAAGACATACAACTGAGC